TCCGATCTGTCAGCAGTCATACTGTCTGATGCTATCCAATTCCACGTGTTTTTTTTTTTTTTCTTCACCCTGATGCACATCTGAGATGTGTCACTTGAATCAAAATTGCGCCCACTGAACCGTTCATTGTAACTCAACTTCAAAACAGATGAGTGCAATTCACTGCCGGTCGAATGTCAATCGAAACTGAGCACCGTCGTCTTCGTAAAAGCGGTATTTCTGGATCAGCTTATGCTTTTGAGGATGAAATCATGCCGATGTGCAAAGCGAACCACCTGTTGAGTGTCTACGGCAGCATTCAAGCACCCTTCAGGCATCGTGAGACGGAACTTGTCCACAATCTCATTCCGCATCTACCCAGTGTGCTGCAGCAAAACAAAAAAATAAATAAAAGTCGCCAAGTAGCATTCTCATCTCACACACACACACACACACACACACACACACACACACACACACACACACACACACACACACACACACGTTTTATATACAGTATAATGATTTCACTTACAGCTCTTCCAGTAAACAAAAATGTCTTCATGTTAACACATCTTGTTTCATATAATGCAGAAAAGACACTTCAGGTGTCATTTGGGAACCTGTAATCTTTTTTTTTTTCCCTTTAATTCCCTTTTTATAGTTCTCTGACGTGACTCAAGCCACACCTTCCTACGCGCTGACATGAGATTGGGCCTACACAAGCTCTGTTGTGTAAATGTGTGGCGATTTGTGAGCGGTGATGAATTCTTATTTTTTTGGTCGGTATATCATCATGATGACGTACGGACAAATTGTTTTCTTTGTTCTTTGGCACATTCGTGGAAATAGAAAAAATAAATCAGATAGAGGCATGGAATTGGAACTACTTGTACCTGCAGTGTAAATCCAGCCCATATTGTATGTCAACACGACACCTGACAAACAGAGAGTGAGAAATAAAATTCCAGAGTGCAAGCGTGTCAGTGGCCAGCTATCAGGCCATGGCCCCTATTTAGGCTTTCATTCGGAGAGCCCAAGAGAAAGGACAAAGGGAAGACATAGAAAAGCGGTGGGAGGAATCCATGGCGATCATTAAAAATAATGCAGGTTTAAGGTTTGGCCTTCCTCTCAGCTCTATTTTCATTTTATTGATTTTTTTTTCTGTCTTCCTAACTTGAGTCACAGTCTTTCGGAAGCACTCTCACACCCTAAAAAAAAAAAAAACAATAATAGAAACACAGTATGTTGCTGGCATAGATGCACAAAGGCATTATTTGTAGCAAAAAAAGGAACTTTTTGTTCAATTTAATTGACTTGATCATGCAATTTTATCTGCCATTGCTTTTATGTATCTTGGAAATATACGTGCATGTTTTTTTTTTTCCGTATTGCACATCTGTCTGTCTCATCTCCTCTCTGCGATTGGTCACTTCTTTAACGATTGTTTACAATACGTTCAAAGTCCTCTCGGAAAAAGCGTGTAACGACATGTTGAAAAGGAATAGACATTTATTTATTTATTTTTTTAATGACTGTGAAAATGTAAGGGCGGGAAGAGGCAGCCGATTCAGAAAACGGGTTGCGATACTCCCCCACTACACTCCTGACTGTGTAAATTAAGCACTATTAGTCATGCGCTGTGCATGAGCAACGATGAGTAATTAGCGACTCCTGATCATTAGATTGAATTAATTTCTGGCGTGTCTGAAATTTGAATCATGTTCGACCACTCAGGGGGTCCAGGTGCAAACTGCTCCAAAATGCGCTTCATATTCAGAGTCCACAGGTGACCGAATCATCGTCTTGATTTGTTTTGACCGCAACACTTTGACACACATTTAACGCCACCTACTGGACCCGAGTGGAATCACAATGACCCGAACGAACCGAGTGAACGGTCAAGCACTATTGTTGCGGTATTTTTTTTTCCTTTTCTAGTCTGTAGCCAGTTTGTCTAGCGGCCAAGCAGGAGCACCCATGCATATATTGCACATGGCTGAAATACTAATCACTTGGATGACAATGGCGAGAGAACCTCCACAATCAGAGCACTTATTTTGACTGTGATATTCAACAGGGTGTCAAATGTGATCTTATTTCCCTCTTGATGATGAATCAGAAACAACCGTCGTCATCGTTGTCATCAGATGAATAGTTTCAATCAGCTGCATTCTCTCCAGAATATAAGACGCATGCAATTTATACACTGACGAGGAGCATCACCGCATTCTCCTGGAGGTTTTATAGCCTCGAATTTTAGGAGTGTCACCAAATGTTTGGTTGCTGTGGAACACGCTTGAAAGTTTAAAA